CTGCACTCCAGTCTGGGCGACAGAGTGAGACTCCAACTCAAAAAAAAAAAAGAGGTGCCCAGAGGGCCTCGCTCTAGTCCTGCTTCCTCCCTGACTGCTGGATCGGGGCTCTGCAAACACTCCCCGCAACCAGCCAGGGCGTAGATATCCCCAGCCCTGTGGACCGGACGGTCTCCACCACGGTACTCAACACTCAACATTCAGTCCTCAACACTCAGCACTCAGTATTCAGCACTCAGCTCCGCTGTCACAGCAGAAGAGTCAGACAATTCGTAAATGAGCATGGCTCCGTCCCCGTCAACTTGATGGATAAAAACAGGCAACTGGCTGGATTTGGCCAGTGGGGCGTCGTCTGCTGAGCCTTGTCCCAGATCATCGAACCTAATGGGGCCTCGGTGTCTTCTGCTCAAGAGAGGGAACAAGACCCTGGCCCAGCCACTGGGGCGCTCCATGGCCTGGCGTCAGGAGGGGCTGCGAGCTGTGAAGTCCAAGGGCAGGAAGTCCAGGCCCAGCACGGCCCGGCACACGTCTCATCAGTAACCGATGAGCCAGCTCGCTGCCCTGCAAGGTCCTGCCGGGCTGTGGCGGTCACGCTGCCTACCCAGGTCAGCCCCTAGCACAGATGCTAGATGACCTTTATCAAAGAATAGGGCAGGGTGCAGTAGCTCACACCTGTCATCCCGGCATTGTGAGAGGCTGAGGCAGGAGGATTGCTTGAGCTCAGGAGTTCAAGACCAAATGGGCAACAGAGTGAGACCTCACCTCTACAGAAAGCCAAAAAACTAACCAAGCGTGGTGGCATGTGCCTGCAGTCCCAGCTGCTCAGGAGGCTAAGGTGGGAGGATCGCTTGCGCCCAGGAGGTTGCAGCTGCAGTGAGCCTTGATCGGGCCACTGCACTCCAGCCTGGACAATAGGGCAAGACCCTAACAAAAAAATAATAGCAAGTCAAATAAGTGTAAGGTTCCTAACTGATAGCTAGAAAAGCCACTGTTTCTGTATGCTTGTTACTGTTGGTGTGTTAGTTGCCCGGATGCGGCAAGGTGGGTCACCGGGTGAGGCGTGGACCCCAGACCCAGCACTTTGAGGCAAGCGGCAGGAAGTTGCAAAACCAGCTTAGGGGAAGATGTGGTTCAACACCACCCAGCCAGGCAGCAGCGGGCTCTCCTGGCCACGTGCCTCTGACAACCGTGTCCCCGGGGCCCAGGAAAGGGGAAACAGCAGCCCGTGCGTCAGAAACCTCAGCTCCCACTGCCATGACTACAGGCTGAGTCACCCCACAGAGAAAAGGCCCCCTCTGACATGTGTCCCCCCCCCACACACCGCTGGCCACAGGAATCACTGCCCATAGTGCCAGGGGCAGCTTCGCGATGGGGGCACTGAGGCCCGTGCCTCCCCTGCAGGGGTGGCTGCCTGGACTGGGGTGAAGCGGAAAGGGACCCAAGCCCAGCAGGAACGATTCGAGCGGAGCAGGGGTGCTTCAGCGGGGGCGGCATGCAGAGCCCCTGGGCAGGGCTGCCCGCCGGGCCAGGGCAGGAAGTGGACAGGGCACGGCCTCCTAGAGACCAAGTTCTGCCTGGAAAATCCAGACAGGGGTGACACGTGGCTCCTCCCACGTCAAGGAGTTGACATCGTGCACACACCACGCCAGGTGTGCAGGGCAGGGCCACTTTCCTGGCGGCAAGGTGAGGCAGAGACCCAGGGCACAGGAGGGAGGCCAGTCTCAGCCCCCCAGGGACCCTCTTGCTACACACCCAGCTGCTGAGTTTGGCATGTTTGAGGGTCACCCCTCGAGAGCTCTTCCTGTGAGACCAGCTGAACTCTGTCCTTCCAGATTCCCATGCTGAAGTCCTAGCCCCCAGCACCTCGGAATGTGACTGTAATTTTTTTTTTGAGTCGGAGTCTCACTCTGTCGCCCAGGCTGGAGTGCAGTGGCACACTCACGGCCACCGCAGCCTTGATCTGCTGGGCTTAGGCGATCTTTCCACCTCGGCCTTCCAAGCAGCTGGGACTACAGGTACGTGCTACCATGCCCAGTTAATTTTTTGATGTATTGTAGAGACCCGGTCTCGTCGAGTTGCCCAGGCTGGTCTCGAACCCCTGAGCTCAGGCAGTCCTCTCACCTCGGCCTCCCAAAGTGCTGAGATTACAGGCTTAAGCCACTGCAACAGGCTGTATTTTTATTTTTATTTTTGAGCTGCTCTGTCACCCATGATCACAGCTCACCACAGCCTCGACTTCATCACGGGTTCAGGTGATCCTTCTACTTCAGCCTCCCAAGTAGCTGGGAATTATACATGTGAGCCACCAGTTCTGGATAGTTTTTAAATTTTTTTTGTAGAGATGTGGTCTCACCATGTTGTTCAGGCTGGTCTCAAACCCCTTAGCTCAGGCAACCTCTCCCCTCATCCTCCCAAAGTGCTGGGATTACAGGCATCTCAAAGAGATCAGTTAAATTGGGAAGATTAGGGTGGGCCCAAATCTAATATGAATGGTATCCTTAAAAGAAGAGGAAATTTCTTCTTACAAGAAGAAACCAGGAAAAGACACAAGAAAGAAGGTGGTTATCTATAAGCCAAGGAGAGAGGCCTCAGAAGAAATCAGCCCCGCTGACCCCTTGACTCAGACTTCAGCCTCCAGGAATGTGAGAAAATAGATTTCTGTTGTGTAAGCCACCCCCTATCCGTGGTACTTTGTTATGGGAAACTAAGATACCAGCTGTGGGCTGAGGCCCCACACACATCAGCTCACTGAATCCCCAACACCCGGGCAGCTTCACTTTTCCCAGCTTGAAAAAAAAGGGCGGGGAGGGGCTCAGGGAGACAAAGCTCCTGGCTGGGGGTCACTGAGGGAATGAGGAACCAGGGCTTGAACCCAGGACCAGCTGACTCACTCGAGTCAGACCTGGAGACTTTCTGAGAAAGGAGATTGCATTCCCCAGTCCCAGGCCGCAGGCACGGCGCTCAGACAGGAAGAGGCCTTGACCTCTGCACCCCGGGCCCACACCAGGACGAGGACGAGGACAAGGATGGTGCAGCCCGTGCCCCGGCAGCCTCCTGCCCCCCCAGCTGCTCCAGGAATGCAGGATGGGAGGGGGCCCTGGGACCGTGGGCATCAACCCGCTCGGCCTCCCTCCCCACCCGCCCCCCCACTTCCTGGCAGCCCCCAGAGTGAGCGATTCCAGGATCCATGAATTCCAGGCGCAGCCTCTGAGACGCGGCAGAGGAAGCAGAGAACTTTCTCACAGTCCTCAGGGTGGAGGAAAGAGCTAAAAGCAGCTCGCTGGCCTCGCCCTGGGTGACACCCGCCCGGTACAGGACACCCCGGCCCGCTGGCCCAGCAGCCCTCCCAGCCTGCCTCCTGCCCGTGGCACCCCTGACCCAAGGGGCTCCCACAGCCTCCCGCGGCCTCCCGCCTGCTGCTCTCGGGGTGCCCGGGCCTAGCCCGGAGCCCTGTGTGAGTAGCTCTCGTCAGCCGCTCGATCGGCTGTTTGTCATCACCCCCCAGCACATCGGAGACGGCTCCCCCCACCTGGTTCTGTGCCCCACCTGGCCTGGGATCACCCACACCGCCAGGCCGGCCAGCCAGGAGCCTTGGAAACTGAAAGGACGGCTTGGGGCCAGGGCCTGGGGGGAGGGCGGGTTCTCCAGGCCCTCTGCCCGTCACAGCCCCCCCCGCCGCCCCCAGGGACCTGAGGCAGCCCTGTGTGGACAGCAGGGCCTGGGCGGCAGGGGCTGGCCTAGCTGGGCCCCTGCTTCCTCCCACCTGGCAGATTCCACAAGGGGCAGAGGTGGCTCTGGGCAGGCGAGCGGAGGGGAGGGTGAGCCGTGTGCCCACAGCAGCAGCCCAGAGGCGGTCAGTGCCCGCTGAGTCCCCCCGCCCTGCACCGTGTGGCCAAGGGTGGGGGAGGGGTGGGTGGCCCCCGAGGTCAGACCGCCAGGAGAAGGTTCCGGATCCAGGACATGGCTGTTCTTCCCCAAGGGCAGAAAAGCCTCCAGCGTCCCACCCCGCTTGGGCGCCGACCCTAAGCCCCTCTGATCCAATTCCTTAGAGCCCACTGACTCTTCCAGACCTGACCCCAGAGCCCTCTTCCAGGTCACCTCCAACCCACTCCAGGTCCTTGGACAGCTCCTCTCCCTACGCCCTGGGGTCCCCTTCACACCAGCCGGTACCTTCATCTGAATACTGCCCCCCCTCCTCCAGGACTAGGCTGAACCATCACTTCCTCCAGGGAGCCTGCCCCGGTCCACCCCTCCCCCAACTCCAAACGCCCTCCACCCAGCCCCCAGCATAGCTATGAGTCATCACCCAGCATCCTCATGTGTTTAGCATCTGTCTCCCCACCAGACGGCTGCCAGCATGAGGGCAGAAAACTGATCTTGCCCCCTGGCTGCATCTCCTGTACCCATATCTGGGCTGCCTCAGAGGAGACACCAAAAATGACTGTTGAAGAAGTGAGTGAGCTGGAAGAGTCACCACATCGGTCAACAGATGAAAATGGCGAAGCCCAGAGGGAGGCATTGAAGTTCCCAGATCACCCTGCAAGATGGTGATAAAGACATGAGTGACACAACTTTTTAAAATCCCTCCCAAGGCCGGGCTCAGTGGCTCAGCCTGTCATCCCAGCACTTTGGGAGGCCAAGGCGAGTGGATTGCTTGAGCCCGCAGGTTCGAGACCAACCCGGGAACCTTAGCAAGACCTCTTCTCTACAAATCAATAGAAAATTAGCCAGGCGTGGTAGTGTGCGCCTGTAGTTCCGGCTACTTGGAAGGCTGAGGTGGAAGGATTGCTGGAGCCCAGCAAGTCGACCCTGGGGTGGCTGTGAGCGTGTCCCTGCACTCCAGCCTGGACAATGGAGTGAGACTCTTGACTAAAAAAAAAAAAATCCCTACCAAGCATGAAGTGGACTCTGATTCCTCACAAACTCCTTAAGACACATGAGGTCATCCCCATTTCACAGTCTCCAAGAGGTGAGCCTCCTAAGGTCAGGTTGTTAGAAAGTGGCAAAATCAGGCCAAGTGCGGCAGCTTACACCCGTGATCCCAGCACTTTGGGAGGCTAAGGCAAGAGCATTGCTTGAACCCAAAAGTTCAAGACCAACCTGGACAACATAGCGAGACGCTGTGTCTACAAAAAACATTTTAAAATGAGCCAGGCATGGTAGCACATGACTGTCGTCCCAGCTACTCAGGAGGCTGAAGTGAGAGGATTGCCTGAGCCTATGAGATTGAGGCTGCAGCAAGCCTTTCTGGTGCCAACACACTCCAGCCTGGGCTACAGAGTGAGACCCCCCCCCAACTAAAAAAAAAAAGAAGTCAGGTACAGTGGCTCACCCACCTGTAATTCCGCCACTTTGGGAGGCTGAGGTGAGAGGAGTGCTGGAGCCCAGGGGTTTGAGACTAGGCCGGACAACTTGAGGAGACCTCATCTCTATAATAAAATTTAAAAAAACCTAGCCAGGTATGGTAGCACACGCCTGTGGTTCCAGCTACTTGGAAGGCTGAGACAGAAGGCTCGCCTGAGCCCAGAAAGAAAAGGCTGCAGCAGCTGTGATTGTGCAACTGCACTCCAGCCTGGGCGACACTCCAACTCAAGAAAAAGAAAATGGCAGAATTGGAATTATTGTTATGTGATCCGAGGTTCAAGAGCGCAACACCCGCACCCCCCTGTGAACAAATTCCCTAATTTTCTCCTGAGCCACACAGAACTGTTTTCAAGGAAGAAGATGGAGGGCGGTGTCACAACCACGTCCCATAAGCCGGGGAAATTAGAACAGCTCCTAGAGCAGGGCTGCCACACTGCACCCAGCCACGAGGTGTCACCACTCAGCACACAGCCCAGGCCTGCCCTGGCCCACAGCTGCCTGTGCCCGGGCTGCTCACCGTTGTTGCAGTGGCGGACACAGTCCTGCAGCACGGCCTGCCACTTGTCCTGCTCGGCCTCCGCCATCATGCAGAAGTAATAGTGCCGCGCATACGGATGCCACAGGATGAGCGGGAACTGCGTGGGGCACTTGAGGATGGGGGTGTTGCCGGACTTCGCCGTGGTCCCTGTGGAGACAGGGCCTGCTGAGCGGCTGCCCTCTGCGGTCTCCCTCGGCCACACGACGGCAGGGACGCACCCCAGCTCTGAGAGGCAGGCCCAGGGCCAGAGGAGGCTGGCCCCTGCCAGGGTGGCCAAAGCCAGTGGGCAGCAGCAGCCTTCTTTCTGGCGGTGCCCCCCACAGCCCAGCCAGAGCCCCGCAGAATCCCATGCCTGTGCAGACCCCCTCCTTAGAGCTGGTAGCGCGTTGCACCCAGCCTCCAAGCTCTGTGTCTGAGGCACCAACTGTATGCGGCACCAACAGCACAGGGTCGAGCTCTGGGGTCAGAGGCCAAGCACGCGCTTCTCGGGTTTCACTTCAACTTTCAGCTGCGGAGGCCAAAGTACGGCTTAAATGTCCAGGTGGGGGAAACTAAATAGATCTAAACGAATTTTTCTCTATTTTGTCCTCACAGATATTCGAGATCTGGCGAGATAACCAGTCCTGGGCTGCGTCCCTTGCCATTTTTGTTAATAATATGACAATAAAGTTCTTCTCTGCGTCCTGGCTCTGGGTGAGCCTGTGCTGGGCACCGCTTGGGGTCTGCACGACACCCTAAGGTCAGTCCCCTCAGTGCCTGTGCTGTGTAGACACTGAGTGACTGAGGCTCAGAGCAGGGAGGCGATCGGCCCACACAGACACAGCAAGACCAAGCCAGACTCGGGCTGGTTCCAGGAGTGCCAGGCTCAGCCACCTCGGGGAGTTTTACTTCCAAGTCCCAGCTGAGGGGATAGAGCCTGTCCCCCAGGTGGGTATGTCCCCCTGTTCCCCAGCTCCCAGGGATCAGTGGAGAGGCAACTGAGCCCCAGCCAAGGTGAGGTGGGAACGGGATGCTAGAAGAACAACCCCTCACCCACATGGCTGATCCGCTGTGGACGAGGAGGAGGCACCATCACCTTCTCCCAGGAGGCGCTCAGGGACTCGGGAAGGTGGGGAGGGCAGAGGGCAAGATCCCCATTCCACAGCTGGGGAACAGAAGGCTCAGGGACCAGCAAGACTTGGGTAGAGCTCACAGAGGTCCAGCCCCAGTCCACTGTGCAGGCAGTGGGCAACCCCACCCTTCAGGCCCCAAAGGTCTCCCTTTGAGGACTCGGGTTGTGCTTGGTGCTGCCGAGAGTTCAAGGCCCAGCTAGTCTCTTTGCAAACGTGGGGTTTTGCACGTGGGCTCAGGGCCACCTCTCCCCTGGCCAGCTCCAGGCCTGTGAGAGCATCATGGCCTGGGCGGGGGTGGTCCTTTACCTGGCAAGGAATTGCCAACCAGCTCCAGGTACTGGTCCACGGAGGTGAGGATCTTGTAGCCCGCACTGTTGAGGACGGCTCGGGGTGGAACCTGCCGCTCATAGGCCTGAGGGGACAAGAGAAATGTTCCTGGGGATTAAGGGTGTGCCCAAGCCCAAATCCCATCTCCAGCTCTGCCAAGATGGGGAGGAGGAGGGGAAGAAGGAAACGGAGGCAGAAGAGGACTAGAGGGGTGAGGAAGAGTTTGACTACCATGGGGACTGAAACAGCATGGTACAGCAACATAGACCCAAGCTCTGGGCTCAATTCCTGGCTCTGCCGGGTAGTGTCTGTGTGGTGCTGAGGATAAGGCCCTGTAATCGCCTATACTCTGGCTCCCTCACCTATAAAACCAGGGTAATGACAGTCCCTACCTCACAGAGCTGTGTGAGGACTGAGTGAGATAACCACAGTGCCTGGCATGCGCAAGGATGGCCTCTGCTGTGGGCGGTTGTTATTTATCACCACTGCTATTGCCTGTTGCTAGCAGCCGCACGGGTGTTGAGTATTGATTACATATCAGGCACTGAGCTGAGGGCACTGCATGCTCCGTTTTGCAGACTTCTCCCAAGCCAAGAATGGACTAGTCACAAGTTCACAAAGCTAGGACGTGCCAACCTAGGACATGAACCAGAGTTGTCTCCTGAGCCTGGGGCCTCTCTGACCATCACCCCAGACTGTCCACCAGCGTCCTAGGTTCTGAGTATCACACAAGTCTCCTTTGGAGGAGAATTAGGTCTGGACACAACTTTCTGACACCAGTAGAGAGTGTAAGAATGAATGAGTGAGGGGACAGAGCTGATGTAATAGCTCACAGAGCATGGCTGCCATGCTGCTCCCTGCCACTAGGTGTCACTATTCAACACAAATCCTGAAAGGCTCTAACTATAGCAGTGATTTGCAAAGTAGGTTCCTGGTCTTTCAGTATTGCCGGAGAACTTGTGAGAAATGCAAATTTTGGGCCCCAATCCAGACCTGAATCAAACCTTGGGGGTAAGCCCAGCAACCTGTTTTCTCCCAAGCCATCCAGGTGATTTGGACCCATGCTATCGCTTGAGAACCACTGCTCTTCTGAATTTACATTGCTCTAGCATTGGTCTGCCTTGAAACAAGGGGAATAGGTCTGTCCTTTTGGCTGCTCTGGAGAAATGTTTGGTAGAAGAAATCAGCTCCGGGGCTCAACCAGGTGGGCTTCCCCAGGGGTCCAAGGCAAAAATAAGGCACAATCAGCTCCCTCCTTCCCTTCTCAGACACTTACCCAACCACCCACAGCAGGGCAGGTGGTTGCATGGGCAGATGTAGCAGGGCTAAGCCCGGGGAAGGGAAGGGCCGGATCGCATCTTCTTGTTGTTGTGTTGTTTGTTGAGACAGGGTCTCACCCTTCTTTCTGCCCAGGCTGGAGTGTGGTAATGTGATCATAACTCACTGTAGCCTCAAACTCCTGGGCTTAAGCAACCCTCCCACCTCAGCCTCCCAAGTAGCTGAGGCTACAGGCATGTACCATCACATCCAGCTTTTTTTTTCTTTTTTTCGAGTCAGAGTCTCACTCTGCTGCCCAAACTGGAGTGCAGTGGCACACTCACAGCCACCACAGCCTCGACCTGCTGGGCTCCGGCAATCCTTCGGCCTCAGCCTTCCAAGTAGCTGGAACCACAGAAGCACACTACCACACCTGGCTAATGTTTTGATTTATTGCAGAGATGAGGTTTCACCAAGTTGCCCAGGCGGGTCTCCAACCCACGGGCTCAGGCAATCCTCTCACCTCAGCCTCCCAAAGTGATCGGATTATAGGCGTGAACCACTCCAGCTAGCTTATTTTTTGCTTGTTTTTTACTCTTTTGTAGAGATGGGATCTCACTATGTTGCCCAGGCTGCCTCAGGCTCCTGGGCTCAAGCAATCCTCCCACCTCAGCCTCCCGAAGTGCTGGGATTGCAGGCGTGAGCCATGCCCAGCCAGACTGGGTTTTCAACAGCGGGTGGAGGCAGAGGCGGGAGGAGGCCCAGGCTCAGGGCTCGGAGGGGCTGGAGGGATGTGAGTGACTAGGAGGGGTGGGGAGGAACTGGGACCCTTGGCGACGAGGGAAGGAAGTGCCCGAGGGGTCCCCGAGAGGAAGGAGC